CATTCTTTATTTTCAATATTCATACAAGAATATAAATTCTTCTGTTGCAATTGAAATAAATGTGCAATGTATCGTTATAAAAGTTACAATTATACAAACATTTACATATATGATTAATAAAATATATATGTATACTAATAATATAATTATATATTTATTATATGTACATATATACCATATATTTCAATTATTTTGAACTGTATTGCATAAATTGTTACTTATACAAGTTATGTGATAAGAATCGAAAAATACATATATTTGTGATACTTGAAATCTAGAAAGCTGCTCTATATATCTGTACTTTAAAAAGTAAGTGATATCCTAAAAATAAAAAATCATAAAAATAAAAGGTCAGGCCCTGTTCAAAGAAGGTACTCTCAAAAATTTAAACGATCTAATAATAAATTATCACGAAAAGTAACTGATATGTTATTCAAGGTGCCAGTTCAAAGTGAACATACGTAAAGTGTATATTATCTAAATTTAGTAATAATATATTACCATGAAAAGTAACTGTGATATTTTATTCAAGGTGCAAGTTCACATTGAATATACATACATATAAGTAAAACTGATTACAATTTGATTCTAGAAAATAGTGCGATATGTTATTCTTAGTGCACAAATATAATAGTCGTTATATAGATTTGATTTGAAATTCATACTAGCCCGTACAATGAAAAATAATTGCTCGTAATTCCAGAGTACCAATTTGTTAATGACTCAGAAAACTAACATGGCGGCCTGCTCTCAAAAACTATGATGTTTCTTGATGTCCATTTAGAAATAATGTCGAAGCTCTTACAGAATAATTACTACAACAACATTTGAAATACGAAAAGTATTACTTAGAAGAAGATTAGATTAGAATAAGGATTCAACGTATTTTTAAAAGCTCTACACACACAACGAAGTGAATATACAAAACTAATACAATACCTTTTTCTTCTGTGTTTTCTGAAGAAAATTGTAAGTCAAATGAAACCTTGCACTTTGAGAACCATGTCACTTATTTTTCAGAGTCAAATTGATAAATTTTTTTTGTATATTTTAATGATATTTATTTCCATTGTATCTTGATAATTAATATGTAATTTTTTATTGTATTTTACGACAAATATCAGTAAACTTTTAAGGCGTATAGCTTTATTGTAGTTGACCTGAAACTGTACATTTAATAAATTTTACTTAATATAACACCCGTTTCGAGCAACAAGGCAAAGTTTTCTGATCAATAACTTACTCCCTGAAAATACGGTATAACACAAATCGGAAGTTGATACAAAATTCGAATTTTTACTAAAGAAAGATTGGAGGTTTTTAATTTATACAATTTTCCAACTCTTATTTCAATTATTATTCTATCTACCCATCGAAAGTTTTTTGAGAGCAGGCCGCCATGTTATTTTTCTCTGAGTCATTAACAAATTGGTACTCTGGAATTACGAGCATTATTTTTCATTGTACTGGCTAGTATGAATTTCCAATCAAATCTCTATAAACGACTATTATATTTTGTGCACTAAGAATAACATATCGCACTTATTTTCTAGAATCAAATTGTAATCAGGTTTTTACTTATTGTATGTATATTCAATGTGAACTTGCACCTTGAATAAAATATCACCGTTACTTTTTCATGGTAATATTATTTACTAAAAAATTTAGATAATATACACTTTACGTATGTTCACTTTGAACTGGCACCTTGAATAACATATCAGTTACTTTTCGTGATAATTTATTATTAGATCGTTTAAATTTTTTGAGTACCTTCTTTTGAACATGGCCTGACCTTTTCATTTTTTATGATTTTTTTAGGATCTATTATATCCGCAACGAAAGAATTTATAATTACGATTACGAAGGCCTTTGGGAACTCTACTTTATTCAGAAGACGAGTGGTAATGATTCATTACTCTCTTTCTGAATTAATATTTGGGCGGTATCTCTGGTCATATGCGCGACGGACTTTGGCGCGCTTTTTATTGCATGTATTATTATTACCGTTTAACTACGTACATACTCACTTTATTCAAATAAAAACTACTTAATATGTATTCAGATTATACTTGCCTTATTTCTTTTGATATCTCTCCTTGTCCAATGCTAATATCTTCTGTAAAATGCTCACGGCTAATCGACGGCGCGTCTTGCCCGGATCGCAGACGGGAACGGAAGAGGAGACGAGCACGGCGACGGTCCGCGGCGTCTGTGAGTCCCTAACAACGCTGGTACATAGCAACAATTGTTAGTTGTAATTAATAATACAATAGTAACTAACAATCGTTGCTATGTACCAGCGTTGTTAGGGACTCGCAGACGCCGCGGACCGTCGCCGTGCTCGTCTCCTCTTCCGTTCCCGTCTGCGATCCGTGCAAGACGCGCCGTCGATTAGCCGTGAGCATTTTACAGGAGATATTAGCATTGGACAAGGAGAGCTATTAAAGAATAAGGCAAGTATAATCTGAAATACATATTAAGTAGTTTTATTTGAATAAAGTGCGTATGTACGTAGTTAAACGGTAATAATAATACATGCAATAAAAAGCGCGCCAAAATGTCCGTCGCGCATATGACCAGAGATACCGCCAAAAATTAATTCAGAAAGAGAGTAATGAATCATATACACTCGTCTGTAATAAACGTAGAGTTCCCAATTGGCACGTAATTATAAATTCTTTCGTTGCGGATAATGAGATGAATATAGAATATAGAGCCAATTTGCATGTATGAATGTTGTTTAGGACGTCGTCGCCGGCGATAAAGTCCGTCGCTGTTCGCTGTTCCGTTCCTCTGATGAACTGTAGACAACGAGAGCTGGCAAAAAATAAGGCATATAATCTGTAGTATTGAATAGTTTTTATTTGAGTGTGCATATTTACGTATATATAGTTAAACGTTATCCGCGAGAAATAATTAATCGAATCGGCATCATGTATTGTAATATATATATTTATCCAGTCAAATATCACCCATTGAATTGACATATAATCGACGTCGAAATTATCGAAATTACATGTACTTCGATGTAATTGTGATGATTTCGACGTCGATTATATGTCAATTCGATGGATGATTTCTGACTGGGTAATATTACAATACATGCAATTAATAATTCAGCTGTGATTATATTACTCGGACAATATACTATTAGACAAGGAGTGTTATAAAAAAAATTAAACAAGTAATCTGTAATCTTTAATAATTTTTATTGACAGTTACACATACATACACAGTAAATATTATTTATATATATTGTAAATGTTAAATTTGATTAAATATTACTATACATGCAATCAATCGCTCCGAAACGCAAATGTCTGACGCTGTAAACTCGAAAAGAGAATGATAAATTTGACTTACACACTTTTCTGTATAATAAAAACGTATAGAGTCCTCAATTCGCATATAATTGTAAAGAATTCCGTGTCGAATATAATGATGATATACTAATTCGCATGAATGTTATTAGATTATCGACCTTAAAGCTCGTCGCCGTGCGCTTTTTCCTCCTGACTTCCCGTGGGCTGTAGATGCGTATAAGAAGATGTCGAATCAAGGCTTTGTCGTCGCAGAATTCCCGGATGGTATTCAAGTAATACCAAAAATTGGTTGCAAAATAAAGATGAAATGCAAATATCCCTCGCATTTTAAGACGGATATAAAAATCCGAAAGCGGTAGAGAAACAGGAGATACCAAAGTTTGATTGGCCCGCATTAGAAGTTATAAGAATTTTTGGCGAATATTGTAAGTACTATATTTAAGTATAGGGTTTTTACTGACTTTTAAAATATTTTACTTATTTATAATATTAATGTTTATAATATTTTCAGCGTCCTTACAGAAGGCTTATGCGAAGGCAGAGAAAGCTTTATACACGTCAGATATGGACACGGAAAAGGAAGCAAAATATTACCGAAAACATAGAGCGAGAAAAATTTACTCTTCGTCGGAAGCGAAGAAGAGTCTGGTGTAAATTTGCCACCTGCTCCATGTCCTCCTGCAAAACGTAACGTTATAAGCATTTTCATTTGCGCGCGCCCCGCGTGTGTGTGTGTATATACATACACACACACGCATTCAATGTATATATATTTTCTTCTTCATTAAATATATGTATGTTATATATGTGTAAAACTCTCTTATATCTCTTATATTTAACATATTGTATTATATATTTTATACATACATTTACACATATTATTATACATATATTTTATTTTATTAATATAATAATATATTGTTCTTATGATTCATGTAAAATTATATTATATTTAAATTTCTTTAACTTTTCTTTATATTATAGCTTGAATCACTTTGATGATTCGCGTATTGGAATCGAAGTTTTCAAAACACGTGGTAAAGTATTTATGGCAAACAAAGTCACCTTACATCGATTCTAATACGTTACATCATCACCGAATTCAGTATAATTTCGAACGTCGGACCGTTAAGACGTGTTGATACTTTTATTTTTTCTTTTGTAATAAAAAAAATTTAGAGTGGGTCCGATGCATCTGGGAAAATGCTAACGATAAATCGTAATCTTAATTTGAAATAAAATTTAGAGTGTTACAGTGAAATGAGAAGTTCATAAAATCCAGACTATATAAATTCTATCAAAATTAATTACTAAATCTTGACACAGATCAACGACTCAACGATTCAGATGTATCTCGGATACAATGTAAAACTACATCCAATGTACGCTCTTCCGAAAAATCACAATCATCGCAAATTACAAACTCAAGCTCCCATTCATCATTTTTACAAGGTGAGCATTCGCAACATTACATAAAATTTCATATTTATAATTAATATTATTAAAGTTACACATATATATATATATATATATATATATATATTTAACTTTATATTACAATATTTAAAATAATACATACAATTTTGTTCTCTACAGCTTCGCCTATTAATGAAGATAGAAATGGAGATGATTTCGGTGCTTCATGTGAAACAGATGCTGAGGAACATCTGCCGCGTACTATTATTGCTCCAAGAGAGAAAACTCGAGATGGCTTGATACATGCCCATGGTCGGTCAGACAATGAATATCCGCATAACAGCCCTATAATAAAAGGGAAAAATCGAATTAATTCGACACATAATCGGTATGACACCATCGATCCACCATTGACGCCATCGATCGGCTCGAGCATAATGGCATTGATGCGGGAAAAATTGGCCGAGCTACTAAGAATAAGTATACGTACAGAGAAATTGAAAAAGAAAAGGAAAATTTTAATAATCAATTTTCACACGCAGAAGGTCCAATTGGTAAGTAAAGCTGCGTTCGGGAACATCACGCGGATGCACACCGGCCGCTGAAAATTTATACTATGCGTTAGGCCTGTTCTACAATAGAGTCGTAAGCTGTAAGACATAAAAAATTGACCAATCACAGACGAATTAAAATAGAAGAAAAATCGACTGTGATTGGTCAATTTCTTACGTCTTACAGCTTACGACTCTATTGTAGAACAGGTCTAACGCATAGAATAGAGTTTTGGCGGCCGGTGTGCACTCGTGTGATGTTCCCGAACGCAGCTTAAATGTAATGCATGTGTGTGTGTGTGTGTGTGTTGTGTGTGTGTAAATACGGTTAAAATACACAATTATGCACTCAATTATTATAAAAAAGGATTATTGAAAAGGTTATATTAAACAAAGTACTTAAAGTATTATTAAAGTGATTATTAAAAAATATTATCGTTAAATTATGCGCAATTTATATATATATATATATATATATATATAAATAAAAATGCGCATAATTTAATAATATTTTTTATAATCTTTTTACTGGTCCTTTTTATAATGTTTTTAATAATCATTCTTTTATATGATTTTATACATATCAATGTCCGCAGTATTGTGTATTTTAATCGTTTTCTCTCTCACACACACACACACACGTACGCACGCACGCACGCACGCACGCCCGCACACGCTCACGCACATGTTCACGCACACGTTCACACACCCGCGTGCGCGCGCGCGTGTAATTTAAATATTTTCAACACTTTACATTTATTCTTGTATATTTCTGGTTTATCGTTTGAAAGCAGCGTGTAATGCGACTAATTTATGTTTTATAAGCTATTCGTATATTTTATATACTATGCACATTTTATAACGTTTTTTTATTATTTTTTTATTATATGTTTTTGTATTTTTTTTATATTATTATTATAAACGTTAACACATTTATTATATAAATTTATATGCTATTGATACATTACAATTACATATCATGTTGATTTTATAAATCAGTCGTATTACACGTTGCCTTCAAGAAAATAAATACTAATAATATTTGTAGTTGATCATTTAAAAAATTAACGAGGGAAGTAGCATCAGTAAAATATGATGTGAGGCAAATACTGACCTTAGTAGACATCATAGTGGACAAAATTAATAAAGACACAGAATGTGAGAGAACACAAATTTCCTTTGAGGGCGCTGAAAACCGGTTTCCCTTGCAAACCGTAGCTCAGTTAGCGGAAGTTGAGGAGATCTTGAAAGCGTCAAATTCCCAACATAACACTGAAATAGTAAGTAAACGCATATAAATTTATATATATAAGATATAAATATTTTACCAATAAAATAATCAGACGCGAAATTATATTTTGATAATTGAACAAATACTGTAACTTACAATTACCATGAAGTTTTACAAGCTTTTATTGCATACATTTTATCGTTCAGATTATTAATAATTTAAAATTGTTATAAAAAAATGATTGGAAATATTGAGAATTTAAAAGAATTTTAAGGAATTATTTAATCTGATAATAATATATTATTTTACCTTTTTATTTTATAGCGCGGATATATCAAATCCATCGGAGGGACAAGTGTCGATGATGCCGTAAAGAGAACATTGTATAAAGTATTCTCCAATAAATTGGCGGAGAGATATAACTGGGAAGGCCGACGCGGAAAGGAACCACTGCAGAAACTGGAAGTGATGAAAGTTATTTTCAGTAAGTTTAAATATTAATTAAACGTAAAAATATGTGATTAAGTAATGCTTTCATATATATACACATAATGACAGATAAAAAAACTGCACACACACACACACCACACACACGCGCGCGCGCGCATGCAAACTCTCTCTCTCTCTCTCTCTCTCTCTCGCTCTTTCTCTCTGTGTTATTTTACAGGGTGTCACGGAAATTTGTTGACTATAATTAAAGGTCAGTTTTTAACGCACATAAGGAACAAAAAAATAAAAAAATCTTTTAACAGATGACATTTTGCATTTATATTTACATTTAAATAAAGATTGGAAATAATTTTATCACTACAAACAAACGTTTATTTTAAAATACTAATTTAATTATAACAGTTTCAGTAATTTATCATGACGCATTGTACTATATGCATGGTCCGTATTCAGAACGCTTTTAAAGATGTTAGCGTGCTTTTTTGTCATTCTATCTTTATTGTTCATTAAACGTGAAATAAGGATAGAATGACAAAAAAGCGCGCTAACATTTTTAAAAGCGCATTTCGAATACGGACAATATAGTACAATGCGCCCTTGATAAATTACTGAAATTAACTGTTATATACAGGGTGACCCATTTTAACTTAGGCAGCCAAATAACTCGAAAAATAAGCACACTACAAAAAAATGTTTAAAATCAAAATTTCGTCATTTCGAAGGGGACGTACAATGACGTTAACATCAGCCCCCTTACCTCTTCCTCTGGGCGGTGAGGGGGGGCAAGTTTGAAATCTTAAATGGAAACCTCTATTTTTATTGCATATTCGGAATCTTTGGCTAAAAACACATACAATTTGTCTGAAACATTTTTCTCGATTCATGATAGATGGCGCTGTAATCGACGAAATTCAATTTCTTCGATTTCTCTTACTGAGAACCCATGCTTACGATTCTGCAATACATTAACAATAAAAATACCACGTTTTCATTGTTAATACTCGAAATTAGTCTTAAAACAAACTTTTCATTATTTTTTATTACTCATTAATTACTTCTCAAGAAACTGCTTTTAGCGTAACCCAGGAACAACAACGTGGACGTAGCAGTTTTTTATTCCCTTCGGGGTGCTTGATTAACGTGAGTCCCCTCGCCTCTCACAATTCGGGGTGCTTGAACGTGTGGTAACCCAGCCAGTGAAGGCAAGGTCGAGTGGTAACCCAACCAGTTAAGGCAAGGTCAAGTAGTGACCCAGCCAGTAAAGGCAAGGTCGAGTGGTGACACAACCAGTTAAGGCAAGGTCAAGTAGTGACCCAGCCAGTGAAGGCAAGGTCGAGTGGTGACCCAACCAGTTAAGGCAAGGTCGAGTAGTGACCCAGCCAGTGAAGGCAAGGTCGAGTGGTAACCCAACCAGTTAAGGCAAGGTCAAGTAGTGACCCAGCCAGTAAAGGCAAGGTCGAGTGGTGACACAACCAGTTAAAGCAAGGTCGAGTAGTGACCCAGCCAGTGAAGGCAAGATTGCATTGTTATCAGCTCTCTCCGCATGAAGGAGATGCTCAAAGTGTGCACCATTATTTTCTAAAGATAACAGTAATCGACAGCGAAAGTTACGTTGTACATTTTCTAGCATTAAAGGAGTTATAGCTTTACAAGCTCTTCTTATTCTTTCCATCATATTCAATCTTGTCGTTGGAGCTTCACTATACACTGCATCTTTAACGTATCCCCATAAAAAGAAATCAAAGGGGTTCAAATCCGGTGATCTCGGAGGCCACAGAACTGGTCCACCTCGCCCTATCCACCGATTTGGGAACCTTTGATTCAAAAATATCCGTACAAGACGAGTATAATGAGCAGGAGCACCATCTTGTTGATACCATAAATTTAGTCTAACTGCAAGGGGAACATTCTCTAGGTATGCTGGCAAATCATTTTCGAGGAAGTCTAAATACATTGGACTATTAATTGGACGTTCAAAAAAATGAGGTCCAATGACTTGGCCATTGCAAATGCCTACCCATACATACAAACTCCAACGATGTTGATTAAGCACTTCACGATACCAATGTGGATTTTCTGGTGACCAATAGTGGCAATTATGCCTATTGAGACTACCATTGCTGATGAATGTTGCTTCATCACTGAAACAAATATTACTAAAAAATCTGGATTCTGATCTAACATCTCAAGAGCCCATCTACAAAATTGTACTCTGAGTACGTAGTCGGCCTCACTTAATTCCTGTACCAGAGTAATATGATACGGATGGTAATTGACTGATCGTAACAATCTATGTGCCGTAGTTTGAGAGATTCCCAGTTCTCGTTCTATTTGACGGGTACTAATATGGGGATTTTGATGAACCATAGCCAAAACTGCGAGCAATCTAGGGTCATTATTATTATGAAGTCTATTCCTTCGCCTTTCGCGATGAATTGATTATTACGAGATCTCCTTTCAATGTTTATAATTTGTTGATCAGTAGGATGGCGGCGATTTGGGAATCGCTCCGCATAAGTACGGGCAGTAAGTCTGTAATTTCTACCACATTCACCAAAGGTTATAAGAATATCGACTACTTCTGTAGGCGTATAATTTGCCATTTTACCAGAATTTTATCAGAGTACAAATGTTAAAAAAATACATAAACACTTGTGACTTTGGCACTAAATGGAGTGCGCACTGAGTGTGCACTCGCCGCAGGTAATTGGGCGTTTCTTGTGCGGTACTTTGGACCATTCAAGTTGCCTAAAGGGCAGGTTACGCTAAAAGCAGTTTCTTGAGAAGTAATTAATGAGTAATATAAAATAATGAGAAGTTTGTTTTAAGACTAATTTCGAGTATTAACAATAAAACGTGGTATTTTTATTGTTAATGTATTGCAGAATCGTAAGCATGGGCTCTCAGTAAGAGAAATCGAAGAAATTGAATTTTGTCGATTACAGCGCCATCTATCATGAATCGAGAAAAATGTTTCAGACAAATTGTATGTGTTTTTAGCCAAAGATTCCGAATATGCAATAAAAAATAGAGGTTCCCATTTAAGATTTCAAACTTGCCCCCCCTCACCGCCCAGGGGGAGAGGTGAGGGGGCTGATGTTAACGTCATTGTACGTCCCCCTCGAAATGACGAAATTTTGATTGTAAACATTTTTTTGTAGTGTGCTTATTTTTCGAGTTATTTGGCTGCCTAAGTTAAAATGGGTCACCCTGTATATATATTTAATTAGCATTTTGAAATAAACGTTTGTTCGTAGTAATAAAATTATTTCCAATTATCTTTGTTTAAATGTAAATAAATGCAAAATGTCCTCTGTAAAAAATTTTTTAATTTTTTTGTTTATTATGTGCGTTAAAAATTGACCGTTCTGAAACGTGCAGTTCTGAATACGGGCCTATATGTATACCTATATATATAGCTGTTATTTTTAAATACACGTAGGGAGCAGAAAAATTAAAATATCTTTAAATAGAGGACATTCAGCAGTTTTATTTTCACATAGAGTAAAGACATTCTTATCATTTATAATAAAGTTTTTTTTTAATGACATATTTAAAGTGCATCATTAAAACATCATTGAAACAAAAATCATATCTCTTGCGGAAACTATAAATAATTTTACGTAACTTTACGTCTCTTTTGAGATGCCATTCATTGCTTTTAATTCTCACAGCTCTGATCAATTTTCTTTATTATCTTGAACCATCTTTTATAAATCGTTTATTAAATAATAAGTATATTTCCGATATTTGTCTTTACTCTATGTATAAATAAAAATGCCTCTCTTAGAAAATATTTTATTTTTACTGCTTCCTCTCTATGTGCATTTGAAAATGACAGCTGTTTATTTTCAGCAATTTTCCATTCGACACCACGTAGATATTCGTAATTGTTTATTATTTTAATCAAATTTAAAAAGTTTTCGATGAATCAATTTATGTGAATAAAATTTTGTGTACTTTTAATCTTTTTGCATTATAAAACTAAAAAAGCAAAATTATTCAAATATAATTGATGCACTCTCTATCTCAATGAATATAAAATAAGAAAGTTAAAACAAAGAAAATGTTTACAGGATCCATACTTCACAATATCCCGGATTCCGACCAGAGAAAAATACAACGACGAGTTATGGAGTGGTTCCGACATTCCAAGGCGAGGCATGAAAATGAGGAGAAGCGGATGAATAGACGCGAAGGTAATGCTTTGTCTAATTTCTTGGAGAACTGCAGTGAATAGAGAAATGAAAAGTTATTAATAATGTCAATGAAAACACAGTTCTCTAATATTGTACTTTAGAATTCCAGTAAAGATAAAGTAAAGCCTGAGACACAATGCGAGGCAATAGCGATAGAAATAGCACAGCACAAATTTCAACCTATAAGAAACCACGTACCAATGGAATGTGGTTTCTTATAGGTTGAAATTTGTGCTATGTTATTCCTATCGCTATTGCCTCGCATTGTGTCTCAGGCTTAACGGTAACGTAACATTTTTGGGAACTTTCCAGCAGGTAACACAGGCGACACCAGTGTCCATTAGTGTGAGAGAGAACGTATCAGTGTGTCTCACTTACACTAGTGAACATTGTGTTACACTGTGTCTTGCCGGAAAGCTCCTATTAATATTATAATTTCTCACTTAACAAGATAACTGCAACGTAATTGCAATGTAGCATGCCTTATATATGAAAAATTATAATATTAATGTTACACATTATACTGTTACTTAATGTTTATATGTATTTTAGATGTATACTCATCTTTGACGCTCACTGTATATTAACACTACATTTGATCCTTCCACAAGACCGTAAATTACGTCACATATTGTACATACGCCACATACCACTGTTAAGCTCCTGTCGCAAGACTACAAAGATCGACTCAACTGTCGATCGCGACTACCGACTCTTATCGGACTTATAGGACTTATCTGACCTATAGGACGTATAGGATTTGGTACGCGTATCAAGTGCTCGGTGTAAACAAAGCCTTTAAAAGCGAGCTTTGAGCAACACGCAACCATAAGGGCGGGGAGGGGGGGGGGAGATGCGTGTTGCTCGAAGCTTAATTCTTTCTGACATCACTGGCGCAAACGCTTCGCTTTTACGAGCGAGATGACTACGAGTGCTTTCTATTTAGCAACACAAGTCGACACAAGCATCATTCTGTCTTTTTTCAACAACAGTGAACAACAAAGATAGAATGATACTTGTGTCGACTTGTGTCGCTAAATGGAAAGCACCCTACGTTTACACGTCACCCTTAAACGTTTGTATTAATAATAATATCGATGTTATAATTGCGGCGTAAATCGGATCGTATAAACGTAGTCATAAATTGCGCGCTTTCATACAAGTCAACGCGTCAACATTAGCAAGAAGAGGGGCAATGTAATTATATTCTCTCTTCGTCTATATTGGAAATTGTGTGACAAAAAAAAATATAATTCCAGTGCCCCTTTCCTGCAATAATTTTTATCTACTTTTAATATTGCGTTTGTACTTTTTTTTATCACCCATCTGATGTTTTATATTATACGTGTATATCACACATACTTTTATATTTCAGCAATGTAGCGAGATCGCAGAGACTGGACCGATGAAGACCGATGAAGCCAGTGATATGCGCGGACGAAGCCTTTCCCTGTTAGAATTGTTCCAGGACCTCAATTGTTAAAATCGAAAAATTTTCCTATGCGAAAGACGCTACGCGATTCTTCAGATTGGTATATATTTTTAAATTTAAAAGTATATACCAATCACACACACACACACACACACACACACAGACACAGACACACACAGCACACACGCACGCACACGCACACGCACACGCACAGACACACACACACACACACACACACACACACACACACACACACACACACACACACGCACGCACACACACACACACGCACACACACGCACACGCACGCACGCACGCAATATTCGTACAGCGTCACCTTTGCATATGAAAATTTTTCATATGAGAATAAGCGTTCATGTTTGTCAGTAGTTTAATTACAATTAGCATTACTATACACATAATTGTATCTATATATATATTGTTTTATCGACCTACTTTGTCTAATTATAAGGTCCTCGCGTTACTCGGGTAAAATATATATATGTATAATCTGGAAAGATTTTTTTCGTAGAAACCGAAAATGGAGCGAGAAAATTTTTCGTATGCGAAAATGATGCTGCGCGATCCCTCTGATTGGTATATATTTTTAACTGTGTAAAAGTATATACCAATCTCACATACACACATACACGCACGCACGCACACGCACACACACACACACACAATTTTCGTTCAGCGTCATCTTCGCATACGAAAATTTTTCATAAGAGAATAAGCGTTCATGTTTGTCATTATTACAATTAGCATTACTATACAAATATTTGTATCTATATATTATTTTATTGACCTAATTTGTCTAATTATAAGATATATGTCCTCGCGTTACTCATCGGAAAAAAAATATATATATGTATAATCTGGGAACATTGTTTTTGTATTGAGACCAAAAATGAAGCGAGAAAAGTCTTCCTTTTGTAAATTCGGTATGTTATCTTTCTTTGTCATTCTAGGAGTTATGTAATAAAGGTCGCAAAAAAATGTATATATATATTGAAAATACACTTGTAGTAATTTTATATTAACATATTGTATTATAAATGGAAAATTTCACAAACCTAGCAGGCCCATACATGTTCCGCAGAGACAACAAGAGGCAGTTGATGCTGTTCATCTAGCTGTAACAGAAAATCCTCATACAAGCACCAGAGCGACTGCCAAAGATTTGCATATGAACCATATTACCGTCCACAAAATTATAAAACATTCTTTGCATATGCATCCCTTTAAACGACATACAACACAAAGACTTACAGCTCGTGATATGGGACGACGTTTAAATTGGTGCGAATGGATTGTTGAACAGGTAAGTTCGTTTAAAAATGCATTTTTTGTTCTTTCGTTGCAACAACATTAACGACAACAGTCTGTGGTTGCAACATATCAAACATTATTGCCGTTTATCAACTTGTGTCATTAATTTTATTCAAAATCTCTCATTTTATATAGGTGGATATTAAATGATGCTGAAAATGACTTATTTTTGAAAAACATTCTTTGGTCAGATGAAGGAATTTTTGGCAATGATGGAACCATAAACAGACATAACGAGCATCATTACGCAGAGCATAATCCACATTGCATTAAAGTTACAAACATTCAGGGCAGATGGACTGTAAATGTGTGGTTTGGAATTTTAGGAGATCACATCATTGGTCCTGAATTTATAGAAAGAAATGTTAATGCAAATTATTATGCAAATTTTCTTCGTCACCGGCTTAATGAATTGCTTGAGGATGTACCATTAGCCAATAGACTGGAAATAATATTCCAACAGGATGGACATCCCGCTCATACGTCTCATTTGGCAAGGGCCGTCCTTCATGAAAAATTTCCCGGAAGATGGATCGGACTTCGTGGCCCTTATGAATGGCCACCACGCTCTCCGGATCTCACCCCCTTAGACTTTTTCGCGTGGGGCTTTTTAAAAATAAAGTTTACGACTTGCTAACTTTGCCGCAAGATCCAGAAGATCTTAAAAATAAAATTCGACATGCGTGTACAGAGATCACTCCTGTGGTGTTAAAACGTGCAAGAAATAATTTTATGCGCAGGATTGCTCTTTGCCTGGAAAAAATGGCGGTCATATTGAACATATTTTATAAATTTTATAAATTAAAAAAATTTATATGTTTAAGTTTATTATTATACCTATTATATTTTATCTATGTAAAATTATATTTGTGTTACCACATGCTACTACTTTATTTATTATATTATTATAAATATTACAACTATACCAGAGTCGATTTCTTTCTTTATTGTCCACTAAATTTCCTGATGGAAATATTTTACTAAAATGTTTCTCACGAAAATCTATCAATTGATCTAATTTCATTATCATATCAATATTTCAATGAAAATTCATAATATCTAATATTTCAAAACTTTTTTATTACTTTTCAATAGTATTTTGTAACTTTCTATATATTTCGTAGCATTAATACGTTGTATTTCATAAGAAAAATTATATTGACAATCCCGATTAAAAAAATTTTTTGTTATTTTTGAAATAATCTTTTAATCTTTCGCATATATTTCATAATATTACGTTGCATTTAATACGAAAAATTATAATTATTTTAAAATATATCCAGTTATTTTTCAATAACTTTTATTTCATTTAAAACTCAAAATATACTATTAAAAAGTTTTAAATATTAAAAAATATACTTTCTTATTTAAATATTAATGATATAATAATGAAACAGAGTCAATTGAGAGATTTTCTAATACATTTTAGTAAAATATTTCCATAAAAGTTTGCATTCTGATTTCATTGCGCGAGGTCGGTAAAGCATGCCCCTGCCGATCGGCGGATAAGCAAACCGACTTACTGATCTGTAGGTTGCGGAAGCACCCAGTATATATATAAAACGGAATTAATCCTTTATTGTTAAAATCTATTTTTAAATATTATAATAAAAAAAAACAAAATTCAGGTATTCTATCGAGTGTAAAAATTAATCTTAAAAAAGATATAATAAAAATATATTTAAATAGCAGGTAATCTTGTATCGCCAGTGATGAATAAAATTAAAAAATAATAACTGTGAGACGACCCAACTGGCTTAAATTGATTATTATTATTAATTTGATGTCATATACAAGAAAAGACAACGTTTTAACCTTAAGTTTAGGTCCTTATCAAGTATAAAATTAAAAACAATACCAATAAATGTACATACAAGAATTTCAATTTTAAGAAAGCAAAGCGTAAACCACGATTGTAATAACAAATTAAAACGTACCTTACAAAATCTTTAATACAATATATAATTAAGTTTTTTCATTTTACACATTTCTATATAAATACTGTGTCAAGTAAAACGTTCCGTATGGATGGTAAAAGCGAACTAAGTTAAACAGCCTTGATTATTCTATTATAAATAGGATTCAAATTCTCTGTGTCTTTCTGTAGGTTGATCGTGTTGTTACATTTTTTTATAAAAAACATTTCAGCAATCTCTCTTTTCCTAGTGTTTGTTTCTCGATGTAAAATATTTAAGGTTGTCCATTTAAAGTCGTGCGAAAAATCATTTCTATGTTTGCTTATAACATTCTGGTTGCTGACATGTATTTTTATATTATTCATATGTGTTAAGAATGGAACGAATAATTTTGTCAATACTACGTCCGTTATTTTTATATCGAACCAGGCTCGATATTGTATCCTTTTCGTTTATGACTTGTTTGTATTTTCTTCGTCATGACTTGTGTGGTGTCACTTTTGCAAAAGAAAGGTCTTCTATTGTACGCTTATTTTTCAATATTGAGGTAATCGTCAGCGCCTGTTCGAACGACGAGTCAGTCTTTATCAAGAATCGAAGCGACTCTGACCGCGATCATTGTCGACAATAGTCAAGTTCAAAAGTTAAATAAGAGATCAACAAAACGCGATCTATTTGAGCGATTTTGCTTTTCGTGCGGAATTCAAAGTGTAAACCGTCGTAAATTTCCTTACATTTAAATAATCGATACTAAAAGTTAAAATTTAGGCCTCAAAGCCAAATAAAGTTGTAATCAAAACACAAACGAAAGGAAAATTTAACTTTCTGGAATTTTTGTCTATTTCACTGATCTATTGCTCCTTTCTATCGCGGCCAACGCGGTCCTCTCTTCCTCTTTCGGTCTCGCTTAGCTCCTGATTCCGATCGTCTTTGATCTTTTTCTTCTCGCGATTTCGTTCGCTTCCTCGTTCGTGTCTTCCTTATCTCCGTTCTCTGTGTCCATCGCTTTTTCGAGCAATATCAGCTTATTCCGTTCGCTGCCGAATTTGTTAGTTTCGGCTCGCGAACAATATGCTCTTTAATCCGAGTATTAAGGTGTCTTTTAGTTTGTCCAATGTATGTGGCGTCACAGTCGTTGCAGTCAACCTTATAAACTATCTCGGTCATATTGGCTTTAGGTAATTTGTCTTTTCCGCGTTTAATAACACAGTATCTAGTTTTTTTGGAATCGTATAAATAACACTTAAGCCTGTTTTCTTAATAGATCTCTCAATAGCTTCGTTTAGGTTCTTAACAAACGGCATTAAAATACAAGACAAAATATCAAATACATTATTTTTGTCAACTACGTTATGAGAATTTCTTAAAAACATGTTCTTTTATACATATAACTCTCGATGACCGTCCTAGGAAAACAATTATTCGACAAGATTTTTTTAACCATCTGTAGGTTCTCATTATAAAACCGTTTATCCGATAACAAAATAGCGTGATCGACTAAGTTGTTAATGGTGTTTACTTTGTATTTAAACGGATGATTAGAATAGTAGTTTTAATATCTACCGGAGAAGGTGGGTTTCTGGTACCAATTAGTCAATAGTTTGCCATTGTTTCTAAAAACCAATGTATCCAGAAAGTTAATCTTGTTATTTATTTCTGTTTCATGCGTAAATTGCAAACGGTGATGGTAACTATTAAACGTACTCAAAATAGTATCAATTTTATTGCGTGGTACTACTGCAAAAATATCATCAACATACCTATAATAAACTGAAATGTCAAATTGTAAAGAGCTTAAACACTCTGTCTCAAGATCATCCATAACTAAGTCTGCTAAAATAGGTGAAAGGGGGGATCCCATTGGAGTACCATGTATCTGTTCATAAAATTGATCGTTGAA